TCCCTGGCCTGACCGTCCAGCCAGTCCTGCAGCGCCCCCTGCCGTCTGAGCTGACAAGGACATGCAAAAGGGGGAAGTGGGCAGAAGACCGGCCAGGGAGCTCAGGCCACCCCCACCGACAAGGAGGCCAGGAGGGCAAGATTTCCAAAACCCCCCCCCCCCCCGATGCCAAGGGCTGGCCCGTGGTCCCTTCCGGCTGGGACAACCAAAGGGTTCAATTTTCCTTTTATTTTTTAGACAGGGTCTGGCTCTGTTGTCCAGGCTGGAGTGCAGTGGTGTGATTTCAGCTCACTGCAGCTTCAAACTCCTGGGCTCAAGAGATTCTCCCACTTCAGCCTCCTGAGCAGCTGGGATTACAGGTGCCCGCCACCATGTCCCGCTAATTTTTATTATTTTATTTTATTTTATTTTATTGTATTTTATTTTTGTGGAGACAGGGTTTTGCCGCACTGTCCAGGCTGGCCTCGAACTCCTGAGCTCAAGCCATCCTCCTGCCTTGCCTCCCAAAGTGCTAGGGTTATAGGCCTGAACCACTGTGCCCGGCCTGAACCACTGTGCCCGGCCGGCTCAATGGTTAATTTGGAAAATATGGTTTTGTTTTCTGGGGCAGGGTGCTGAACAGATTCTGCAGGATCTCTCTGGAAGCCTGTCTTCATCAGGCCACCCACCCAGCCATCGGTAAGCCATCTCGTAGGCCCGGGCATGGCGAGAGGAAGGGAACGTGGTCACCTTGTCAGAATCAAGGGACACTCATGTCTGTGGACTTCAGCTCCTAGGAAAGATCCCAGAGCAGAAGACACAGATGTGGGTCCCTTGTTTCCAGCCCACGTGCCTCCTCTTCCAGACTGAAAAAAAGAGGCGAAGGGGAAGAGGAGCAGGGAAGTCACGGGGAGAACGGAAGTGAGCATGGGGGTCAGAGAGGGGCAGCGGCTGCGTGCACCGTGGGGCCTGAGACCAGCCCCGGTAGCAACCTGGGTGTGTTAATATCTATTCCAAAGACAAAAAGAAGTGTGCAGCTAAGGCCAGGCGTGGTGGCTCATGCTTGTAATCCCAGCACTTTGGGAGGCTGAGGCAGGTGGGTCACTTGAGGTCAGAAGTTTGAAACCAGCCTGGCCAACATGGTGAAACACTGTCTCTACTAAAAATACCAAAATTAGCCAGGCGAGGTAATGCTACTTGGGAGAATCACTTGAACCCAGGAGGCGGAGGTTGTATTGAGCTGAGATTGTGCCACTGCCCTCCAGCCTGGAGGATGGAGCGAGACTCCATCTCAAAACAAAAACAAAAACAAAGTCACCAAAAACGTGTCTGTTGTTTAAGCCACTCAGTCTGCTATCTTGTTATGGCCGCTCCTTGAAAACTAACAGCGTCCAGAAAACAGTTTGTCAACCAACTTCCAAACAGCAACAATCATATATAGGTTTGGGAAGAAATGAAAGACGCAAGAGCAAGAACCATCGTCAGATGTTAACAGAGGATGAATGACAGGCAGTAAGATCACCCGCACGTCAAATGTTGGTGGGAACTGCTGGGAAAGAAATTCAGAATTTCAAAAGGATTTTTTTTTTAGCTAAGGCATGTCAGCAGATGGGCGGGGAGGGCATGGAGGGAGAACGGGAGAAGGATACATTGTAACCATTTAAGTCTTTCTCTCCTCTAGAAGCCAGTTGGGAGACTGGCAGGTTTAATAGTTTTCATTTACATTTCAGTGACATGCTTACCAAAGTGACTATCACTTCATTGTATTAAATGTTACAAAAATGCTAAAAAGAAACTGTTACCTAGTGCTTTTTTTCTGAGACAAAGTTTCATTCTTGTTGCCCAGGCTGGAGTCCTATGGTGCCATCTCTACTCACTGCAACCTCCGCCTCCTGGGTTCAAGCGATTCTCCTGCCTCAGCCTCCTGCGTACTGGGATTACAGGCATGCACCACCACACCCAGCTAATTTTTGTATTTTTTAATAGAGACAGGGTTTCACCATGTTGACCAGGCTGGTCTTGAACTCCTAACCTCAAGTGATTCACCCACCTCTGCCTCCCAAAGTGCTGGGATTACAGGTGTGAGCCACCATGCCCAACTGCCTAATGCATTTTATTAGGAAAATGTGATACTGGTTCTCAACTCTGATAAGCCCAGCACTAGAGAGTTCTAAGTAATGCAAAATATCCCAGGAGTGGTCTGCATCTAATCTACACTTGTACCTGCAAGGTGTGGGGTGAAACAGGCAATGGACCTGGAACCAGGAGACTTGGGTCTGAGTCTCAGCATTGCTCTTGACCAGCTTTGGGCTAGGGGCATACCATTTAACCTCTCTATCCATCAGTTTCCTACATTTGTAAAATGCTTACAATACACCGTATGCAGCAGGGTCGTTTGAAAACACTGACGTTGCCCCAGGCTGTTGGTACAAGTGAGGTTATAGCAATTTAACACCGGGGTTATGGCGACTCAATGTAAAATTGCCTCGACCAGCCTGGCCAGCGTGGTGGAACCCCTTCTCTACTAAAAATACAAAAGTAGGCTGGATGTGGTGGCGTGTGCCTGTAGTCCTAGATACTCAGGAGGCTGAGACAGGAGAATCGATAGAACCCGGGAGGCGGGGCCTGCAGTGAGCTGAGATCGCGCCACTGCACTCCAGCCTGAGAGACTGGACAACAGAGCGAGACTCCATGTCAACAAAATGAACAAAACAAAACAGAACCGGGTCTTGAAAGAGCCTCCGCAACAGTTTCTGGGTGTTCCTGGTTTCTCCAGTGCTCAGAGACAGGTGAGCTCATCTTGCAGCTGGCCCCCTGGAAGACAGCCCCCCCAGCCAGCAGAGGAAGGCATCCTGTCTCTGGCCTAGACCCAGCTGCTGTTGCCAACCCTGGAGGCACCCAGATGCTCTTCCCTGATCCTGGGTTCTCTCCCGCAGGTCCCTACAGGTGGTTCCATTTAGTTCTTCATCCATGGCGCTTTCTGCTTTCTTCCCATGCCTGCTTCTGTAGGGCAGACTCAGGCCGGGCTGGGGCTGACATTGTCTGGTCCTCCGAGGGCCCTTCTCCCCCTGGCTACCTGCATTTGCGTCCCCCTCCTCCTTAAGCAAGAAGTAAAGCGCAGGTGCGTCACCCCTGCCTGGGGACACATCTGCGTGCACACACGGCAGGGAGTCCTCCGTCCTCAGCACCTGCTCAGGTCAGTGTAGACCACCCTGCAGCAGAAATGTTGGGTTTGCAGTCCTCAATCCTTTCCCTGAATTCGGCACCACAGGTGTCTTAGAATTCAGAATACGAGGTCAAGGCAGAGGAAGGTGCTGTGTGGGTCCTGTGGTATGCGTTCCGTCATGATTCCATGGGGCGTGGACAGCGGTGCACGGTCACTCCAATAACGGTCCTGGGTGGGGCTGGCAGGATTCACAATCACAGGACAATGTGGGGAGCAGAAGTCACCTCACATCAGTTCAGGTCAGGATGCGTCACTCAATGTGTTTGTGGCAAAGTTTGGAAACACGGTTTGGGTTTCAGGGCTTTTTGGAGTTGACAATCACGGCTAACACGTCGGAGAGCTGCACTATCCTCTTTCTGGGTGTGGCTGCATCTCCCTGTCTGGACATCCCTACTCTGGGGAGACGCAGACAGGAAAGGTGGAAAGCCAAGCGTTTATTCTGCGTTGACTGTGTGCTGGGTGCACATCCAGCTCTTTGACTGATGTCAGTCCACCAAGAGGGTGGGGGCAGGTCTGAACCTCTCATTCAGGACAAAGGTCAGCTCAGCCTGACCAGGAAGCAGGAAGTGGTCCTAACTCAGCGGCTAATGCGTTTACTCACAGCCTGGAGCAGGTGGGGGAGCCATCTGCTAATCTCTCGCAGCTGCTGCTCCAGGATGGCTGAGAGAGGGGCCCTGGAGAGGCCAGGGGCGCTGAGCAGAGCTCCTCATGGTTTTGATCAGCTCTGCCGGCTCCTGCCTGCCAGTGGTGGAGGAAAAGACCTTTCCCCAAGGGGCGTGGGCTCAGGGGCCTCAGCAGCAGCTCAGGCCATCTCCAGCCAGTTCCTCCTTTTCTATTATCTTCATGCCCTGGGCTGAGAGACCATTTTCTTTCTCCTCATTGGCAACAACAAAAACCACAGCCACAGAGCTGGTTCTGGGCCCACGGACCTGTCCTGGCTTAGGGCAGGGAGTAACGTGGACTCGAACCAGAGTGTTGGAGACCTAAGAGGCTGTGTCGCCTGGGGCTAGACAGACCCGGGCCTGGGCTCATCAGGTCTGATTTAAGATCACCCCTTTCTGGCTGGCCCTGGGGGTTTCTGGCCTAGACCCAGGGGCTGTTGCCAAGCATAGAGCCCCCTCCCGTTGCTCAGCTCAATCTCATTGATTCCACCAGCCCAGGAAATGCCTTGAGTCCTGAAGATACCTTTCTTTTCAAACTCTGGCATTGCCACTGGGAGCCGAGAGGTGATCAATTCAGGGAATGAGAGACAGGCACCAGGAAATGGGGGAGGGCTGGGGACAATTCACATCCATCCGTCCATCCGTCCATCTGTCCATCCATCCATCTATCCATCCATGCGTCTGTCCATCTATCTGTCTGTCCATCCGTCATCCATCCGTCTGTCTATCCACTCTAACATCCATCAGTCTGTCTGTCAGTCCATCTGTCTGTTCATGCATTCGTCTGTCCATCCATCCATCTGTCCATTTTTCCATCCATTCAACCAACATTAATCTAGCATTCATGACGAGCCAGGCAAAATGCCCCTTGCAGAGGAATGCCCACAGCACTGATGCTATTAGCCTGTGCCGGGCAGAGCCCTTTCATCTTCTCAGGAAATAGGGATCGCTGGTGAAGCAAATGTAAGAGTTGGCTAAATTGTCCTCCTACCTGGGAGCCACACCCAAAGGAGGGGCCTCCACCCCCACCCAAGGAAAGCAGTGTGTTGATAAACATTTTTTGGGCACAACTTCAAAGGTGCCAGTACATGTGGCTATGAACCACCCTGAGCTCCCCAGCTGGGCCCCCCCCTCTACACTTCTGCCCCTTTGGGGAGTCCTGGAGGCTCCATCACTGGCTTCACTGCCATGCCCTCGGGCTGTGACGCCAAAGTGCATGGCAGGTAGGCATCCTGGATGACCTGTCGGACAGTGGCCCGGAAAGTCTTGCTGACAAAGCAGTAGAGGCCAAAGTTGACTGCTGTGTTGAGCATGGCCACCATGTTGGCCACGTCCAAGGCCAGGTGGACCCTCCAGTCCCGGTGGACAGGGGCCACGTACATGTGGTAGAGCATGACGGAGACCCGGGGTGCCCACAGGAGGGTGAACAGTGTGGTGACGCCCAGGAGGATGGCTGTGCTCTTGCCTACCCGCGGTTGGCCCGTCCTCCGTAGCCGGTGGATGATGGCTGAGTTGGTGACCAGGAACACGCCACAGGGGATGAAATAGACAGTGAGGCAGTGAGCCCACTTGAGGACCTCGTCCATCGTGCTGGGTGGGTCGGCATCTCTCCACACATCCAGCCACCAGTAGAAGGGGATGCCCGTCAACAGGGCAGCACTGAGGACAGCAGCAATGGCCCGGCGGGTACGGCCTGGGGACGAGGCGGCCCGGTGGTGCAAGGGGTGGCACAGGGCGCTGTAGCGGTCAACTGTGAGCAGGATGGCGATCCAGACCGAGGCGTGGTTGGCAGCAAACTCCAGGATGTTGGCCGTGCGCACCACAGCCTGGGGCACCTGGCGGGCCAGCACAGCTCCCTGCAGGAGAAAGCCTGCGAACACGATGACCACCTGGGTGATGATATCTGAGGCCGTGAGTGCCAGAAGGTAGTAGTAGGAGGGCTTCCTGGTCCTGGTGGCAAGGCGGGCCAGGGCCACTGTGGTCAGGAGGCTGACTGACGGCAGCGAGGTCGAGGGGGAGAGGCACAGGCATCAGAAGAGAGCTCCAGGGTGTCACTGTTGCCCCTCCCCACCTGTGTGTGTGCAAGCTGTGCTGGCTTTTCTTTTTCATCCTTCCAGATCCTTCTGAAACCCCACTTCGCCCATAAGGCAATCCAGGCCAGCTGTGCCCTGTCCCTCCACTGCAGGCCACTGACTGCACCCCTGTTACACACAGGTAAGTACACATGGCAGGGTGTCCTCAGAAGCCACCTGTCCTGACCGCGTGCGGTGGCTCACACCTGTAATTCCAGCACTTTGGGAGGCTAAGGCAGGCGGATCACCTGAGGTCAGGAGTTTGAGACCAGCCTGGCCAACATGGTGAAACCTCATCTCTATTAAAAAATAGGAAAATTAGCTGGGTGTGGTGGCACACATCTGTAATCCCAGCTACTCAGGAGGTCGAGGCAGGGGAATCACTTGAACCTGGGAAGTGGAGGCTGCAGTGAGCAGAGATTATGCCACTGCACTCCAGCCTGGGTGACAGAGTGAGACTCCATCTCAAAAAAAATAAAGAAAAAAAAAAAATAAAGCCACCTGTCCTATGGCATTGCCCTCCAAGTCCTTTTGAGGTTTTGTTTCCACCAGAATGGAAGTGTCCCTGAACACAGGCACATGGGTTTAGCGATCTGACTTGGGGAAATCCCCAGGGCTGAGGCCACCCATCCTCCTGTATCCACACACCTACCTCCGCCGCAAGCTCTGCTCTCTGAAGGCATGGGCAACGCAGGGAGCTTTGTACTGAGCCGAGTCAGTTCCTATGTGAATTTCATTACCTAGGAGAGTGCTCAGTGCTGGGGAAACCTTGGGTTTAGCTGTGAGCACCCCCAATCCTAGTGCCTCACTTTTATTCCCCTCCAGTGACCCAGAACACCCTCATGGCAAGGAAAGACCAGGGGTCTACGATCCAGGGCCTCAAGGGTCAGCACAGAGGACTGGCACCCACTGAAGGAGTATCCCTATTTCTGGCCAAGCCCAAGTCCCCAGACCCCAGCTCCCCACTCACCAGGCAGCCCCAGCCCCAGCAGGACACTGTAGTAGATGACGGGGATGACGCCAGCCACACATGGGGACCTCTCTGGTATCTCTGGCCAGTGGCTTTCAAACTCCTGGCTCAGCCCACTGCCATTGGGTGTGGGCAGCAGGGTCACTCGCGGCTGGCCAGCTAGGAGGGGTAGATGGGCACAGTCAGAGCCTGTGGTCTCCTTGTTTTTCTTTTCTTTTTTCTTTCTTTTTTTTTTTTTTAGGAGCAGAAAGTTTAATAGACAAAAAAAGCAGAAAGAGAAAAGGCTTCCTCATGCTGAGAGAGTGGGTTGCCCAGGAGAGGGTCTCTGCCTCTGGTCTATTTCTAACCTGGCTGGGCAGCAGCTCTGCCCTGACCTGGGGTCTTTCTCGTCACCCTGCTCTGTGCAGACCCTCTAGTCAGACCCAGCCGAGTACAATGTCTGTTGCTGTGAGAATTCTTGACAAGACCACCCTCACCCCCACCCCACCTCACCCCACTTCTTCAGTGGCCTGGTCCCGCATTGATAGGAGGTCCCTGGTAGCACAGCCTGCTGCCACAGAGGCCACTGCCCCCCAGGGGGTCCTCACCCTGCAGAGCACGGGCTCTGAAACAGGATCACGGGGCTCTTGTGGAGACGCAGGCTCCTGGGCCTCCTCCAGGCGGGTTGAGCCGGAGGGTCTGAATCAGGCTGCGGCAGCTTGTAATCAGCATCCTGGCAATTCCGACCCAGGTGACGCCAGCCACGCACCGGGACCTATCTGGGAGGTCCACAGTGGAGTCCCCAGGGCTGCACAGCTCCACTCAACAGCTGTCCTCACTAAGGAGACTGTTGCTAGGGCCCTCTTTTCTAAGCTAAAGAGACCCTTTTCAGAGGCGAGCACCACTGAAGCTGGAATGGCCCAGGTCTACAGATGGGGAAACTGAGTCCACAGGGCTAAGGTGGCTGGTCTAGGATGAGCGCAGTCCACAGGCTCTGGCCCCTGTTCCCCTGAAACCACACTGCAAATCTCTTTCAGGGTGAACTCCAGCTGCTGGTTTCCTGCTGAAGCTGGGGGCTCACTGCTCATTCACTGTCAGCTTCGGCCGCCCCTCTTCACGCTCTAGGTCGCTAACCTGCCGCCTGCTCCCTCCCGCCTTTCTACCTTACTGCCTCCCAGCTCACCCCATTGCAGGATGCCTTACCTGTGTGTTGTCCCATAAGCCCCATGCTCCGGGGCCCTGAGTCCTGGGTCACCTGTGGCTTCTCCTGGGGGGTCCCCGCAGCTGCCTGTCAGCTGCACCCCTCGCCCCTCCGCCCTCTAAGTGGTTGTTTGCTCCACTCCACGGTCCTTCCCGAGACACTGAGCCTGTTAGTGCAGGGGGCGGGGCGAGGGGAGGAGGAGGAAGGAATCGGTGGGCGGGGGCACCGCGAAAGGAGCTAGAGGAGATGCTGCTGGAACAAACCGGGGTCCCCTAAGGTGCAGAGGCAGGGGGAGGGGAAGGGGTCAGGCTGGGCGGGAGGCTTCAGCTTCTGGAGAGATGGGCTGAAGGTGGCATGGGGTTCATAGGTCTGTCTATGCCTGGGGGAGCAGGAAGCGAGGAGAAGAGGCAGGATGGCAGGATGGGGCTTCTGGGGGGCTGCCTCCCACCTCGGGGCACTCAGTGAGCTGGCCTGGGCTCAGCTGGGATCACACCCTGGGCTGAGGACTTGGGGTCCTGACTCTATGAGCCTCCAGACTGAGAGGCATTCACACTGTCAGGGAAGAGAGAAGGATCCCGACGCCGCGTGAGGAGTTAGGGGCACAGTGCCAGGTAGGAGGGGTGAGGCTGCTGAAGACAGGGCTATGATCCCAAGAGGCCTAGGGGGCCAGGTGCACAGGGGTCAGTCCTGCAGCGGCCATGTGGCGGAGGTGGAGGCTGCCACCAGGGGCAGGAGGGCAGGCAGCCATGCACGGGGTGGGGCCGCCTCTGGGAGCAGCCAGACCAGGCTGCTAGCATCGGGTGCTGGGAAACTGTGGCCCCACAAGCTGTTGTTTTCCTGGTCCTGGTGAAATGGACCATCCTTCAGGAATATTGATCCCTGGCAAATAAATACCAGCCAGTGATGGCAAGCACTCAGAAGAGGCCAGAATGGCTCCCCCGCCCTAGTGAAGGAGTGGCCAGAGCAGCCCGCAAGTGGGCACCCAGAACATGGACGCCCGGTGGATGGCCTCTGAAGGAGGGTTCAGGCCCCCTGGAGTCACCTCCCACGGCCTGTTCTCTGGGAATGCGGCAGAAAATATGGCGGGGAATATAGGGACTTTCCCGGCTTTGGGAGTTAGATCCCACCTGTGAGCCTGGCACTCCCGACGCCAAGGCCCACTGGGATACTCACAGCTGATGCCCTGCTGCCCCCTGGTGGCCACATCCTGACCCTGCAAGCCTGAAAGCCCCATGGTTTGGCCAGGCGCCCTGGGTGGCGGCACAGTGACACTGGAGAGGAGGCTGCCTGCTCAGGACAGGTCCTCTGGTGGAGAGCTGGGACCCCAGCCCCAGAAAGGGCAAGTAGCACAGATGACGCCCAAGGCCACCACCTCCTTGCAGCAGGAGGCTAGGGGTGAGAGGAGGCAGGACCTCTCTTTAAGGAGCTGCCGCAGATGAGGGGGACAAGGAGGGGTCCCGCCAACATTTATTGAGTACCTACCCTGTCCCTATACTGTGTTTTAAAATTTTTATTTTATGTATAGCTATAGAGAGAGTTGGGGTCTCACTGTGTGGCCAACGCTAGTCTGGAACCCCAGGTTTCAAGTACTCCTTGTGCCTTGGCCGCCCAAAGTGCTGGGATTACAGGTGTGAGCCATCATGCCCAGCTGACTTTGTTTTTCTGAGGGACGTACATTTGATTGGAAACCTTAAGTATTCTTCAAACAGAGCACAATGGTTTCAGCCACGGCTCTCGCACAGGCTACGTGGGAAACTAGAGCTCCCTGGATTCGGAGTGAGGAGAGGGAGAGAGGCAGGAGGGGGGCTACGTTTCTAACGCGATGCTCCATGCATGTCCTTCCAGCAGCTTAGCATCCTACCCATGGAAGGCCTGTTCTGGAGACAGCTGGATCCACCTGGCAGAAACTGCTGGAGTCCCTGGATGTTCTTCGGAGGTCCCAGCTGCCCCGTGTGACCTGTGAAGACCTCAGCCCTTGGAATGGCTGAGACAAGCATGCCGGCTTTTCTGTGCATGCAACGCCATGGATTTGTCTTCCTCAGTACATGCTTCCATACCCAGGATAGCAGTGATGCCCTGCAGGGAAGCATGGTCCTGCTGACTCCTTTGCACCCACGGGCAATGTCATAATGATCATCGCCAGTGACGCTGGGATCCCTGGTTCAAGCGGTGAAGCCTGGAAATGTGCAGCTCAGTGGCAGCAGCAGATAGCCATGTCATCAGCCAGCACACACCCTGTACAGAGGTGAGAGGCACTCCTTGTTGCCCAGGCTGGAGTGCAATGGCACGATCTTGGCTCACTACAACCTCGGCCTCCCGAGTTCAAGCCATTCTCCTGCCTCAGCCTCTCAAGTAGCTGGGATTACAGGCATGTGCCACCATGCCCAGCTAATTTTGTATTTTTGGTAGAGATGGGGTTTCGCCATGTTGATCAGGTTGGTCTCGAACTCATGACCTCAGGTGATCCGCCCACCTCAGCCTCCCAAAGTACTGGGATTACAGGCGTGAACCACCATGCCTGGCCAAGAGACCCTCTTCCTATTGGCGTTGATTCTTTCCTACATGGTGCGGTATCAGTGGCCAGGGTAGGTTGCTAGCCCACGGTGGAAGGGATTCTATCCACTAAGGCTGATACCTCTGAGCCAGCCTGGGCAAGGTGAAAGATTTTGTGAAGACACAGCCACACACCTGGACCGTTTGGTCTCAAGTCTTCAGTCCAGCCACAGCTACCAGGCATGAGCACCAGGTGGGTCATTCATTTCCCCATCGCCACACTTTTCATCCTCACAGCTGTTCTACAAGGAAACTCTAGTTCCCTTCATTTCACACAAGAGGAGCCCCAGGATCAGAGAAGCTGAGCAGCTCAGCTAAGGTCACAGAGCTGTGTATGGCATTGGAATTTGAACTCAGGTTCGTTTCTTCCTTCGAGCTGTTCGCTTTTCACTCCCTCCTGCAGAGGGAGAGGCTCCTGTAAGCTCAGGTTTCGGGGAAATGGCAGCCAGGGGTCAGATGGATGACACTCAGATGGGGAAGAGTGTGACTGAAGGGTGCTGAGCAGGACAGTGGAGGTGCCCGTGCCAGGACAGCCTGGCTTCAGGGGGAGCATCCTGCAGGGTGTGAGTCACTTCAGGGAAAGATGACAGGGATGACACCAGCCACACACGGGGAACCTCTCTGAGATCTCTGGCCAGTGTTTTCCAAACTCCTGGCTCAGCCTGCTGCTGTTGGGTGTGGGCAGAAGGGTCACTTGTGGCTGGCCAGCTAGGAGGGGAAGAGTCCTTTCATTTTTGGTATGAGACTGAGTCTCACTCTGTCACCCAGGCTGTGGTGCAGTGGTGTAATCATAGCTCACTGCAGCCTCAAACTCCCAGGCTTGAGCGATCCTCCCTCGTCAGCCTCCCGAGTAGCTGGCACTACAGGTTTATGCCACCACACCACAGTGCCTGGCCAAGGATTCCTTCTTATTTTTCTGTTTGTTTTTTTGAGATAATCTCGCTCCGTTACCCAGGTTGGAGTGCAGGGGTGCAGTCTCAGCTCACTGCAACCTCCACTTCCTGGGTTCAAGCAATTTTCCTGCCTCAGCCTCCCAAGTAGCTGGGATTACAGTCACCTGCCACCACGCCTGGCTAATTTTTGTATTGTTAGTAGAGATGAGGGTTTCATTATGTTGCCCAGGCTGAGCTTGAACTCCTGACCTCAAGTGATCCACCGCCTCGGCTTCCCAAAGTGCTGGGATTACAGGCATGAGCCACCACACCTGGCCTCTTATTTACCTTTATGTGCTCCCCTGAATACGTGGTGCATGGAACTTAAATCCATGATTCCCTGTCCCCAATCCAAGTGATCCAGTGACTCATGGAACCCTAAGTGAGGGCAAGAGGCACTGGGGATGCAAGGGAGGGTGCCAGGTAGAGGCCGGGCTGTGGGCACCTGGAGCCCACCCCTCTGAGGTGTTATCGAAGTGCAATGTCTCATCACTTCCTTTGCCGATTCAGAAACTCTTAATTTGGCCCCAAGCTTGCAAGAGTTTTCTGTTGCTTTTACAGTACAAGAGAGTCCTCATCCAAAGGGATCATTTATCACAACTGAAAAACCTTCCCAAAAAGACAGCTTGGGGTTGTGGAAAGAAAAGTCAAGTAGCCAGGTGCAGGGGTTCACACCTGTGGTCCCAGCTACTTGGGAGGCTAAGGCTGGAGGATTGCTTGAGCCCAGGAATTTGAGGCTGCAGTGAGCTATGAAAAGTGCCGCCACACTCCAGCCTGTGCGAAAGAATGAGACCTCAAGTCAGAAAAAAGAAAAGTCAAGCGGAACTTAGAACTTGAAAAATAAATCCTGCCTCTGCGGTTCCTGGCCACGAGGCCTGAGACACATGGCTTAGCCTAGAAACATCCCCGTCTGGGGTGGGAAGTAACACTCCTCTCTAGGATGGTGCTGGCTTGTGAACTCATCAGACTTGTCTTTGAGGAATTATGGAGCTCCCAGATCCACAGGGCTAAAAAAAGAAAGAAAAAAAAAAAAAAAAAAAAAAAAGAATGCAGTGCTGCAGATCCTCTCAAAGATGTGGCCAAGCACAGTGGCCCATGTCTGTAATCTCAGCACTTTGGGAAGCCGAGGCAGGAGGATCACTTAAAGTCAGGAGTTCAAGATCAGCCTGGCCAACACAGTGAAACCCCATCTCTACTGAAAATACAAAAATTAGCCGGGCATAGTGGCGCACACCTGTAATCCCAGCTATACAGGAGGCCAGGAGGCTGAGGCAGAGAATTGCTTGAACCCAGAAGGCGGAGGTTGCAGTGAGCCGAGATGGTGCCACTGCACATCAGCCTGGGCAACAGAATGAGGCTCCACCACACACACACACGCAAAAAACAAAACTGCTCAGGGTGAATACCTGGCTTTCTCTCTCCCTCCCCAGGACACTCCCCACACACCACATGCAGGCACGTACCACACACACATGTATCCACAAATAGGCATGCATACACACCACGCACATGCGTGTACACACACAACATTCACATAAATGTGCACACACACACTGCATACACACATGTGCACATGCATACCACACACACACACACTCTCTCTCTCTCCAGCGATGCTCAGACTAAGAAAATGACAACAGAGAATGACTGTGGACAGCCAGTTTCTAAATCATTCAAGGAGGGCCCGGGATAAGGGAGGTTAGAAACCATGGGAGGTGGGGCCTCTCAGAGACCGGGAGTCAGAGGTGACTCTCCTGGGTCTTCTTGATGATCCAAAGCCTCCCAGCTTCCTTCACATTTGAAATGCCACCAATCTAACTCTAGTAGGTAGAGCCTGTCTTGGGGTGCTTATAACCATCGTCTGGAAGCACGTAGAACATACAGCCAGCCAGACCCTGCCCCTGAAAATTCTGGTTCCTCGGTGAAGCATGGGAGATTCTAATGTAGGTGGCACCCTTCAAAAATGACTGATACAAAATTAGCTGGGCGTGGTGGCACTGCCTGTGTCCCAGCTTCTTGGGAGGCTGAGGCAGGAAGATCACCTGAGCCTAGGGGCTTGAGGCTGCAGTGAGCTATGATCATGTCACGGCACTCTAGCCTTGATGTCTGAGAGACTGTGCCTCTAGAAAAACAAACAAACAAACAAAAAAACAAAGAATGGCGAATGGATGCAGAGGCTCAGGGAGGCTGGAGCTGAGAGGCACAAACATCGCGACAGTCTTCGGGCGAGTTTTCTGAGTAGTGGGTTCTCTTATTATCAATAGCATTCCTGTTGAAGGCACCGTGCTTGGAAGCTGGGATGCCCTCAGGGCCCAGGCTGCCTGCTACATGGAGACTCAGACTCACTGGGTTGAGCCAGGACATGGCACAGCCCATGGGAAGGGCAGGCGGGCAGCCAGTGGGCAAGGGATAGTGGACTTGGACGAGGGGAGCCAGGCATGACAGTCAGGGCAGCCGGAGGGGTTTCCGCTGGGCTGGAGAGAGCTCCAACTCTGCCAGCCCGGACGAAGCCGATGCCAGACCCAGTTCCTGCTCTCTCTGCAGCTCCAGAGAGGAGGTGGAGCTGTTGGGTCTCTCTGTGCCAGCCAGAGGCAGAAATCAATGCATCGAGCTGGTCCCTGGCATCCAGAGAGCCAGGGAGAGGAAGATTCAATTCACCCCCAACCCAGAGCCTTGCCTCAGAGTCAGAGCCCTTGGGAGCTACCCACTTCAGTTAGTCAAGCTCAAAGAAGTCCCTCCCATGAAGAGCTGGGGCAGACCCTGCTGGCTCCCTGCAAAGGTGAGGACTCAACAGCATGCCACCCTACACACACACACACACACACACACACACACACACACACACACCCCACACACACTTACTTCTGCTGAGCTCCAGACCTCACTTTCCTCTCTCTCTTGCCTTGGTTTTTAGAAGAGCACTCCTCTGCGCTAACCCAACTGAGACTGCATCTAGCCCCCTGCCTCAGTTTCCCTATAGTGGGAGTGAGACAGTAGGTCAGCGGCATGCCTCCTTGGAACTCTGGGAAAGGAAAAGTTAGAGTTGGAAATTAGACAGAAGCTGGTAAAAGAAGCCTTCCAAGGAGGTGAACCCAGAGACTTGAGGCCACCTGGGGAAGGAGAATTGAAGCCAGGAAGTAGCGGGGCAGACAGCGAGCACCCTTGGCTGGCTGGAGCTCAGAACTGGAGGGTGGCCAGCCCCACCCACAGGCAGTGGTGCATCTGCTCCATGCCCAGCCCTGCCACTGTGACTCTGCTTGCCCCTGGGGTAGGTGACAGTCACAGTCCCCACAGAGCTTTCCTGCCGGCCCTCCCACAGCACACCAAAGAATATGAAACTGACACCAGCTACCTATGGGCCCCTATTTGGGAGACCCCTGAGCTTCTCTCTGAGGAGCTGCTCCCCCCAACATGGCAGTGGGGGAGGGGTGGGAGCCTCAGCAGCCTTCCCTCTCCTAGGCCCTTCCTTTGCAGCCGGCTCACCATGGTACTCCAGCCATGAGGCTGCCAAGTGCGCTCTGTGCCAGGGCCGAGGCCCGGGGTTGGGGGAGGGAACTGGGGACCCTAGGGCCAGTGGCTGCCCATGGCCCTGGAGCCCCTCGCCTATTCTTCAGAGAGCCTGAAACTTTCCAGGGAGAAGCACGGCTAGCCC